TTTTTCCGCAACTGTTCGAGGGGGAGTTTTTTCTCCAGTCAATAATTGGATCTTGGAGGCCAAGTTGAAGGAATTAAAGGGACTTCACCTATTTTTGTGACTTTGTTGCTTTTGTATCCCACCCTGGGTCATCACAAAACATTTCCTCCTCTCCTAAGGTCGAGGAAGGTGTTGTCCATTTGGTATTGCTTTCCCTGAAATGTGTTTCAATATTAGTAGAATATTAGTAAAATACTAGAATATTAGTGAATATTCAGTAGTGAATATTAGTGAATTCCATTCCAGTTGGTAGTTAGGCTGTTGGTTTGAGTTCCAAGTTGGGCGACTGGGTTGCAAACGTGTCGTCACCATTTGAGGAGACATCGTCGGTGCACTTTGAACTGTGCTTCTTTGCACAAAATGCACCGACGACGTCTCCTCGAATGGTGACGAAACGCTTGTCACCAAATAGCCAACCTTCGAGCTCAAACCAACAGCCTAATCGTTTTCCCTTGTTGCTACCCTTCCAGCCAATCTGTAGATCTCTCACCTGAAGTTCTTCCTGCTCCTTCTGCTCCTCCGCCTGGCTCAGGAGGAAGCCTTCCGCCAGGGCCACCGCCTGGGAACTGGTCTCTGCTCCACACTCCCGCACCCAGCTCTCCACCTCTGCAGGCAGGACAGCCAGGAACTGCTCCAAGAGTACCAGGTCTAGCATTTGAGCCTTTGTGTTCCTTTCTGGTTTCAGCCATTGGTGACAAAGCTGGTGGAGTCTGCTGCAAAGCTCTCGCGGCCCCTGGGCCTCCCGGTACTCAAAGTCCCTGAAGCGCTGGACATCCCAAGTGAGGGCACCTTTTTCTTCTTCTTCTTCCGGGATCTTGACCCTGGTTCCTCCCCAGAATCCCCTGGGGCTTCCGGCTAGGATGCCGTGGAAGCAGTCTGGAGCTTCATTTGTGCTCATTTTCTGACGCCGACACTCCTCGGGGGGACTTGCGAAAGGGAGCCAAAGATTCCCTGGGTCTCCAAAGCTATCTGGATTCATCCGAGCGGAGCAGCATGGATGAGCCCAGGCAACAGGGCTTCTTCTTCTGGAGGAGAGCCGGATAAAACCCAGGCGCTTTCCTAATTCTAAGGTGGAGCCCAAGTTGGACTCCGAGGCAGAGAGGGAGGAAGCTTTGCTATGTCCTCTGTGGGCAGCGGCTTTTCTCCCTCATTCGGAGAGCATCTCGCTCACTCCAAAGGCAGCCAACCAAACAACCTGGGGTTGTGGGGGACAATCCTTAGCCGGGTCAGCTAGCCTAGTGGAAGAAGCTTCTTGGATTTGAAGCTTCAATCTTCAAAAGAAAAAAACCAGAAAATCCAGCTGCCTCCTGAAAAAAACAAACAAACCACCTTTAGGACAACCATGATCTCGAGGACTGAGAATCGCTACGGACTTTTAGCTACACTATCTGGGGTGAACATCCTTGGAATGGTGTGGGAGTAGGAATGGATTTCCGGGAGGGGGGTGGAATTGCAGACCTCAGGAACCAGGAGTGCCACTCGGGTGGCCCCAGGATACAGATAAACCTCCAAGTGGCCTCAACGACCTTCTAAAAGGATGCAAATGTCCAGCTGTCTTCAAGGAATGTCAATCCTTCCATTGGCCACCATCCAGTCAGATCTGAAGAAGTTTCTTGAAGGAGAAGTGGAACGTCTTCAAAAGAAAAAAAAGAAAAAAAGTCCAATTGCCTCCTGAAAAAACACCTATGAGACAAGCTTCTTGGATGAGAAGTCTTCAAAGAAAAACCAAAACGTGTATTCTATTCTCTATCCCGATTCTCTGTTCTATTCTATTCTAATTTTCTATTCTACCCTACTCTATCCTATTGAGCCAGAGAAACCGCCGCGGGAGGATCGCCTCTATTATCTAAGCCTAACGCGATCGCCGTCGCCCTCTGGTGGTCGGGCAGAGTAGCGCAGCCCCGATCTCGCCCTTCTGCAACGCAGCGCCCCCGGGCCTTCCTTACCGCGGGGTGGGGGCCCTGCGCGCTTCTTTGCGAGCCGGGGGCAGCAATTTTGGGCGGCGGCGGCTTCTTCTCCTTGCGCTGGGCTTCCCTCCCCGGGGCGATGTTTGCGGGCAAGGAAGGGGTGGGTGGGTGGGTTGCGCGCACGGCCGGCTCTTGCAACCCACCCTGCGAGATGTGGCCAAACGCCGCCGCCACCCCTCCCCAGACTTCCCCAGACAGGAGTGGGAGGGGAATCCTTCGCGAACCACGTGACCCTTCCCTAGCATTGCGGGCGGGGATTGCAGCCCAGCATCGCTTTTAACTCTTCCCCCCACCCCCCCACCCACCCCCACCCCCAAATGGGGGCATTGGTGGGGAGCTGGAAGGTGTCCGCTTCGGTAATCGAACCTTTGACCGGCCCTGCAATTTTCCTGGGGGCTTCTTTCTCATCTCTCTTTGAACCCCCTCCCCTTATCCCCACCTCCCCTCCGTAAGGAATCCGGAGGGAGGTGGGGGGGGTTGTTTTTTGTTTTGCTAAGGAGGCTGAGGGGGCCAAGGAAAAGGAAAGGAAGGCTGCATGGATAAATAATAGAATAGAATATGGAATGGAATGGAATAGAACAGAACAGAACAAAACATGATGGAATGGAATAGAACATGGAACAGAATAGATAGAATAAAACAGAACAGAATAGAATATGGAACAGAACAGAATAGAATAGAACAGAACATGGAACAGAATGGAATAGAACAGAACTACAGAATATGGAACAGAATATGGAACAGAATAGAATAGAATTAGAATAGAATAGAATAGAATAGAATAGAATAGAATAGAATAGAATAGAATAGAATAGAATAGAATATGGAACAAAATAGAACAGAACATGGAATAGAACATGGAATGGAACAGAACAGAACAGAATAACAGAATATGGAATAGAACAGAACAGAACATGGAATAGAATAGAATAGAACTGAACTGAACTGAACTGAATTGAATTCTTTATTGGCCAAGTGTGATTGGGCACACAAGGAATTTGTCCTGGTGCAAATTTATTTATTTATTTATGCTCTCAGTGTACATAAAAGAAAAGATACATTTATCAAGATTCAAGAATCATAAGGCTACAACACTTAATAACGTAGAACAAAGGACTTGGGGGCTTTTTAAAGGCTGGGGAGTCATGCAGGCTTGCAACAGCAGCTCTCGCCTATGCTTTGTAGAGCCTTAGTAAGACCACACCTGAAACCCTGCATCCGGTGTTGCTCACCGCATTACAAAAAAGAGGTTGAGGCTTTTGGAAAAAGTGCATAGAAGAGCAACTAGGATGATTCAAGGTCTGAAGACTAAAACATACAAAGAGCAGCTGCAGGATTTGGGTTTGGCTAGTCCAGTGAAAAAGAGGAGTAGGGGTGACATGATAGCAGTATTCCAGTATTTAGAGTAGAATAGAAATAGAATAGAATAGAATAGAATAGAATAGAATAGAATAGAATAATCAGAGTTGGAAGGGACCTTGTAGGTCATCTAGTCCAACCCCCCACTCCCTGTGACAGCCCCTCAAATATTGGAAGACCTCTATCATGTCTCCCCTGGTCCTTCTCTTTACTAGACTAGCCAAGCCCAGTTCCTGCAACCCTTTGTTGTATGTTTTAGCCTCCGGTCCTCTAATCATCCTGGTTGCTCTTCTCTGTACTTTTTCTAGAGTCTCAACATCTTTTTTATAATGTGGTGAACAAAACTGGATGCAGTACTCTAGGTATGGTTTTACTAGGTCTTTATAAAATGGTATTAGTACTTACCTTGATCTTGACTGTATCCCTCTGTTAATACAACTTAGGATTGCATTAGCTTTTCTGGCTGCTGCTGCACACGGCTGGCTCCTATTTAGCTGGTTGTCCACTAAGACTCCAAGATACCTCTCACAGTTACTGCTATTAAGCTTGGTTTCACCCAGTCTATATGTGTCCTTTTGGTTTTTCTTGCCTAAGTGTAAGACTTTACTTTTCTCTATACTGAATTTCATTTTATTAGATAGGGCCCAGTGTTCTAGTCTGTCAAGATCCATGTGGATCTTCAGCCTATCTTCTTGGGTGTTAGCTATTCCTGCCAGCTTAGTATCATCTGCAAATTTGGTAAGGAATAGAATAGAATGAGTTGGAAGGGACCTTGAAGGTCTTCTAGTCTAACCCCCTGCTTAGGCAGGAAACCCTGTACCATTTTAGACAAATGGCTGTCCAATCTCTTCTTTAAAACTTCCAGTGTTGGAGAATTCACAATTCCAATATTTGAGGGGCTGCCACAAAGAAGAGGGGTTTAACTTATTTTCCAAAGCACCAGAAGGCAGGACAAGGAACAATGGATGGAAACTAATCAAGGGGAGAAGCAACCTGGAATTAAGGAGAAACTTTCTAACAAGTGAGGAGAGAAGAAGAGAGGGAAAAAGGAAAGGAAAAGAAGTTACAAAGGACCAGAGCAAGTCATACAGAAATAGGACCTATTTAGAGATAAGGGGTGAAAATCTAACTGAAAAAGGGATTCTGTAAAGGTACATAAGATTGTATTGTTATATTAGTAATAGAAATAACTTTAGAAAATTGGAAACAACGTATGATTAAAATGAGGGATAAAATAGTGTAATTTAGTGAAATGTTTGTGAATAAAATAAGTGAAATAAAATAAATGATAAAATTGAATTAGGAAGGGAATATTAATATTAATGATAGAATTGACTTGGAATGAAATGTTGTTTTAATTATATACATTTATAATTTTTTCTTTTTTTAAGAATACAGTGTGTATTTTAAGAATGTACCAAGCAGAATTTGAATGGAAGTTATGTATTATATTGAATGTTATAACTTTAGGGAAAAGATATAAAGGCGTCATACTCCAATCAGTAACTACAGGAGAAATTTTGTTTAATGAGAAAAGATAATAGATAACTGAAACAGGACAGACAAAAAATATATAAATACAATGATTTGAATTGAGATGAGATAATTAAAATAAAATTGAGAAAATTAAAAGAGGGGAGAAGCTATGCAGAAAATGTAAAATAGTAATAAGATATGGAATAGAATATAAAAATGAGCATAAACCTGAATTTGTGTCTGTACGAAGAAATGTAACCCGGGATTATGCTGCTTTCAAAAAAAAAGTTTTACTTGTATTTTTTTTTCTCTTTGTGAAAACTCAAAATAAAATTTACACACACACACAAAAAGTGAGGACAATGAGCCAGTGGCTTGCCATCGGAAGTTGTGGGTGCTCCATCACTGGAGGATTTTAAGAAGAGACTAGACAGTCACTGGTCTGAAATCGTATAGGATCTGAGCAGGGGGGTTGGACTAGAAGACCTCCAAGGTCCCTTCCAACTCAGTCCTGATCCCCTCGTATTGCGCCTCGATTTCTGCAGCTGTTGGCAAGTTATCCAGCTCATGCACAGTTTCCTTCTGAAGCCGGGGGCTGCCTATTTTCCTGGGCGGGGGGTTATGCATGGAACCCCCTAGCACAGAGGTCTGCAACTTTAAACTCTCAAAGATTGGACCCATTTCCCACAGAAAAGAAAACACCGGGAGCCAATAATTTAACAACCAGTGTGACTGAATTGGGTGTGGCCAACTCGACATCACTCCCTCCCACCTAGTCATCTCCTGCTCTGGAATATGGAGCGAGTCTCCATTCCCTGCCATCACCTGTACCTTCTCAGGAGGAGTGATGGGGAGGGGAGGGGCCAGCCAGGGGTGGGATCAGCTGACAGGGAGCTGCAGCAGAGGGCCAAAAGAGCCGCACGTGGCTCCAGAGCCACAGATTGTAGACCCCTGCCCTGGCAGGTATTTTTTGCAACTCTTGCCCTGCCTCCTCGGCCACCTGTTGGAAGTGCTGGCGGGAGAGGGAAAGAGATGTGGGGAGACTGTTATCTGGGCTACAAAAACCCCGGGGAGCTCTAGAAAGGCAGCAAACGATGCCCAACCACTTCTGCTTTGCTCTTCTCTGGATATTTGCCACCCAGGGATAACGTGAGGCGAAGAGCGACAGAAATAGACAGGCTGCCATATCCCTGGTGCTTGATGCGAGTTGAAACACTGGGGCAAAAGGGCATCATGCTTTATAAAAAGTCAAGCTGGTTGCCGGGGGAACCAACAGCCACATCCCTGCAATCATCTTAGCAGTCACAGAAGTGTCATGCCCCTGTCAGAGTCTGAATCCGCTCCGTTGGCTGTGGAGGAAACTGGGGAAGGGTAAAGTCCGGCTGGGCAGAGCAGGGAAGAGGTAGAACAAGGGAGAGGGAGTTCAGAGGTATATCTCATGGCCTTTGGCTACAGAGAATCAAGTCCAAAACGTGGTCAACAAAAACTAACTATAAGTCCAATCAAGGCAAAATGAGGTAAATTATTCTGGCAGGGCAGGAGAAGGAATTCCAGACATGAAGGAACGGCAGTAATTCAACACTGTTGGGAGGATGCCAGGAACGCAGATAACCAAAGTCAACACAAGATAAACTCACATTTGTTCTCAGCAGCTGCCGCATTCAGCATTTTAAACTCTCTGCCCTGGTGTGGCTAATGAAGGGAATCAGGGCCCTTTCCTCCCCTGTAAGCCATGCAACCCACGTTGCTCTCTTCTCCGTTTCTCCCTGCGTGTCCTAGTACAGGGGTCCCCAACCACCGGGCCACGGCCAGGTACCAGTCCGTGGAACATTTCCTACCGGGCCGCCGGTTTGCTGGGCGCCGCCATCTTGTTTGATGAGAAAGTGCTTCCGGGTGAGCTTTTCCAGTTGGAAAGTGGCATTTGGGTCCTGAAGGAATCCTCGTGCCTTAGTTTCATCGAGGGGGGGGGGGCTTTGAACAAAACTAAGGCGCGAGGATTCTTTCAGCACCCAAGGCAAGGCGAGCCGAGTGACCGTCCTGAAGCCGTCCCGAAGTGAAGCCCATCGACAAAGGTACAAAGGAGGAGTTGAAGGTAGCAGGGAGAAGCGGGGGATGGCTGGCTGGCCGGTCGCTCGGCTCGCCTTGCCTTGTCATGCGTGCTGATGCCGGTACCGTGCTGTGGATCATGTTGTGATTGCCAGTTGCTTTTTTTGGTGGGGGGGTTGGAAGAGGGGACAACCCAAACCTGGAGGATTGAGAATCTCCATGGACACTTTCTGATTGCTCTGTGGAGATTCTCCATCATTTATGATCATGGTTGTCCCCCAAAGGTGCTTTTTCAAGAGTTAACTGGACTTTCTGGTTTTTTCTTTGAAGATGTTTCGCTTCTCATCCCCAGAAGCTTCTTCTACTCTGACGGAATGCTGGTGGGGAATGGAATCTTCAGAGCTGAAAAAGCTTCCGGGGGGAAGAAGCAAAATGTCTTCAAAAAAAAAAAAAAAAAAACAACCACCAGAAAGTCCAGTTGCCTCCTGAAAAAGCACCTTTGAGACATTTATACTAGACATTTTCAAACTTTTTCATATGGCATTACATTATTTAATTCCAGGATTTCCAAATCCTGAAATTAAACAGGCTGTAAGGAGTGTGTCTAAAAATCAGCCCTAAAGCCCTCCACATCCTTTCTATCTACCTTAGAAAAAGTCCTAGGCTGCCCTAGAGCAGTGGTCACTAACCGGTGGGCTGGGGACCACTGGTGGTCCATGAGAAAATTCTGGTGCTCTGCAATGTCACCCCCAAAGCACACACACCCCAAAGCAATTAATCCAGGCTGTGCAGGAACACAAGGCCTGTGTCAGTTGCATTGTGAACAACACGAGGTAGTGAGGGGAGGGGGGGAAAGGGCGGAGGGAGGGGAACTTGCCCCATGCAGCCCACGCACCTGGCCTAGTCGCTGGGTTACTTCTTTCCGCTTCTTTCTTCTTCTGCTTTTGGCTGCACGCAAGGAAAGCAGCAAAAGTCTCTCTCCCTCCCAAACTCCGCCAGAAATGAGTCTTTGGGACCCTGTAAGGCAGGGGTCCCCAACCACCGGGCCCCGGACCGGTCCCGGTCCGTGGATCATTTTGTACCGGGCCGCAAAGAATGAATAATCGTGATTAAAATATATATAAAAATATGTTTTTTGCTTCCGGGTGTCTTATTTTGAAAGACAACCACTTCCGCCCTCGCCTAACTTCCGCGCTTGACTCTTTGGCGCCTATTTATCCTGCATCAGCAATGCAAGCTAGCCCTCGCAAAATGCGCCAGAAACAGAGTTCACTGGAGAGTTTTTTTGGAAAGGGTAAACGGGACAACGATGAAACAGCAGAAGGGTCACAGACTGCGTGGTGAGTTGATATTATAGTGTAATAGTTCATGAAAGTGCCTAATATAAAGGTAATCATTGCATTCAGATCACATACTAAATATAATGATTAAGGTTTTTGTTATTGCCCCTACCCGGTCCTTGAAAAAGTGTTTCTGCGTGAAACTGGTCCTTGGTACAAAAATGGTTGGGGACCACTGCTGTAAGGCATCCTGCTCCAAGTGACAATCCAAGAGGCTGCGCCGGAAAGACAAGTCTCACAAAGACTCATTTCTGGTGGGGTTTGGGAGAGAGCAAGAAAGACTTCTGCTGCTTCTGCTGCTTTCCTTGCATGAAGCCAAAAGTCTCTCTCTCCCCTCCCCCCCACCTGAGAACAGAGCTGGAGACAGTATCCTGCGATCCCAAATAAAGAATGATCCATCGGTAGGAAAATGGAGTGGGGAATTTTCCTGCAGACTTTTGGGGGGATTTTTCCAGGGTCTATGGTCCGCAAGATTTAAAATTATTGGTGATCCCTGAGGTTCAAAAGGTTGGCGACCCCTGACCTAGAGTACTTTTTGGGGTTGTTTGATCTCTCATGGTATCTCATGAAGTTTGTAGCAGAGAGCTTGAAGTTACTATTGGTGTCATAGTAATTTGTATGGTTACTTTTAGAATAAAAATGACCTCATCCAATTTTGCATTATCTGAAAATTTGATAAACAATCCCTCTTAAACTTGGTGTTGAATTAGCAGTGAAATTATTAAGCAAACCCTTTTAAGTTTCACATTGTAACATCCTGTTTATTACCTTCCTCCAGTTTGATGAAGAATAACATTTGAGCATGTTCCGAGTTAAAACTTTTGAGTCATTACACGTCCACTTAATTGTCATGCCATTCCAACCACACTAAATTAACTTACTACTCAGAATGTCACTGGCTATTCTGTCAAGTGCTTTGCAGAAACCAAGTTATATTACATCTAAAGCAGTCCCACGGTCCATTAAAAGAAGTTATCCACAATCCAAAAATGTCGGAAGGTTTGGTCAGGAAATATTTATTTCTGACGAATCTGTGCTAGTAAACCTCTCATGACCTCTTTTTTTCAGAGTGCTCACAGATCAATCTTTTACAATCTGCTTTAGAATCTTCAAAGCATCAGTGTGAAGATTGATCTATAGTTTTGATCACTTGGATACGCTGCTATTTTTGTTTCTTTGTCACGCCTGTCTTCTTTCACCCATTCTTATTTTTCCTCCACATACTTAAATCCTTATGGGCATTTTCTGTATCGTCCAGTTGTCAATGTGCCTGGGCAAATTCAATTCAGCCAAGTTTCTCACGGCACAGTTTTAATTGCACAGTTGTCGGGCTTTTTTTTTAACAACTCTGCCAGAAATCACTTCATGATCAATTTTTGCTCTTTACTTTTCTCAGACATCTTAAGACGGATTTGTTTCTAGCTCCTGGAATTGTCTTCTTCCTTCTTTGGAGCAGGAAAGATACGTTTGGGTTGCTTTGTCTTGTAGCTGTTGGACTTTTCTCATTTTCTTTCAACTGTTAATATACTCCTCCCTTATTTTCTTGTTAAAAGATCTAAAAGGGCTATTTTGGGACTTGTTTAGCCTTTTTCACTAACTTTCAACCTTTACGGTTAGTTCCTCTTTAATGCAGTCTCTCTCTTTTTTTGGATTGGTACCAAACTTTTCCTAGAATGGCTTCCTTCATGTTCTCCTTGTCTTTATTCCACAATTTTATCCTTGATGGCTGTAGAAATCTGAATTGCATCCCTGGCTGAAGTCTCAACCAGACAATACACTAAGGGTTTAAAAAACTGCTCCCTTGAGAGTGGATTTTCTATGCCTTCAGTGATGTTTTCAACTTTCTGTACTTTCTGAGTAAAGGACTTGAGTCCAGGCCCCATGGTCTACAAAATGCTCATCCCCCCCACTCAAATTTTCTCCTAATGCTGCCACCAGATTTTAATTGGGTGCGTGAACAGAGGGAAATAGATAAGTATGTGACTTGAGAGCAATCATACTAGCAATTTTTAAATTAATTTAACTAGCTCTTAATTGAATTCATTGAATTAAATCATGTCGTATTTATCCCAAAGGCAACTGGATTTTCTGGTTTTTCTTTTGAAGATGTTTTGCTTCTCATCCAAGAAGCTTCTTCGGCTCTTCTTCTGCAGAGCTGAAGAAGTTTCTTGGATGAGAAGCGAAATGTCTTCAAAGAAAGCCAGAAAGTCCAGTTGCCTATTGAAAAAGCCGATTGGACGTGGATGACTGAGACTCTTCATAGACAGAATGTCAACTTTAATTTATTTCACCTGATCCCGCCCGTTTTCGTTTTTGTTTTGCAATTTGGCTTTACCACGCCCCAATTGTCGGTCTCCATCAGAAAAAAGTTACCGGGGTTATCTATGAGGTTGATAGATGTGATGTGAAAAGACTGATTTGACAGATGGATTTTCCAAACTCCCATGCATTCAAGCCATTTCTTCTCCTTTGTAGACCCTTTTATGAGAAAGGAAGGAAGCGCAGACTGGAATACTTTTTCACCATTTGATCCATAAATACGGTGTCTCTCCTTTATGCCTCTTTTTATGAAGCGTAAAGGAGCTGCTCTGACTGAAGCATTTTCCGCACTCCGTGCATTTGTACGGTTTCTCCCCTGTGTGAATCCTCTTGTGCGACGTCAGAGCCCCGTTTTCGCTGAAGCTCTTCCCGCACTCCGTACATTTGTACGGTTTTTCTCCTGTGTGGATCCTTTTGTGAGAAGTCAGGTGCGTGCTGGTATTGAAGCTCTTCCCACACTCCACACATTTGTAGGGCTTCTCCCCCGTGTGGATCCTCCTGTGTGCGGCAAAGCTACTGCTCTGACTGAAGCTTTTCCCGCATTCGATGCACTCATAAGGTTTTTCCCCCGTGTGGATCCTTTTATGTGCGATGAGATGACTGCTCTCACTGAATCGCTTGCTGCACTCGGGGCACTCGTATGGTTTCTCTCCAGTGTGGATCCTTTTATGCGCCGAAAAGCTACTGCTCCGACTGAAGCTTTTCCCGCAATCTAGGCACGTATATGGCTTCTCCCCAGTGTGGATTCTTTTGTGGGAAGTCAGATTGCTACTCTTGCTGAAGATCTTCCCACATTCCAAGCATTTATACGGCTTGCCTCCTGTGGTTGTTCGTTTCCGCGGAGTACGGGGGAAAGTCCTCTGCGTTCCTTTGGGGAAAAAAAGAACAAGCTCACCAGTGAAATAAAGGCGATGAGAAAAAGGCCGTCGCCGATGAGAAAAGAGAAGTTAAAAGGCAAAGGAAGAGCATATAAAACTTGGTCAGGCATGCTTCGTTTTATTGCACATGGAAGGTATTGTGGGATTTTTAACAAGTCGAAGGCTTGTCGCAACCCCTTGTTGTGGGATGATACTAAGCTGGCAGGAATAGCCAAAACCCTAGATCAAGGGTGTGAAACTCATGGCCCAAGGGCCAGATGCATCACATGACACCCCTGCCCTAGATTACAGGCTCAAGATCTACCCTGTTTCTCCAACAATACGGCCTCCCCCAATAGGAAGTCCCAGCATGTTTTATAGGCATGAAATGAAATTAAGCCCCTCCCCCCAAATTAAGGCCTATATTCAAACATGCGAAATGGGGGGGAATGGTGGGGGGGCTTGCCATTAGGAAGTACTTTTGTGGCACACCCGGATATGGTGCTGCCTGCGTTGACCCCGATACGAAGTGCCCCACCAACGCCGAGGTCAACATCCAAGCCATCACTGCCCGCCAGCCCGAAGATGCAAGTGAGGGGGAATTAAGTCACTCCCCGAAAAGACGGCCTAGCCATTTTTTCGGGGCTCAAAAAAAAAAAAAAAAAGACCCAGCCTTATTATATGAGAAACATGGTAGATGGATCTTGACAGACTTAAATCCTCGGCCCTATCTAACAAAATGAAATTCCCTGTATAGAAAAGTAAAGAAAAACTTTAGGCAAGGAAAACCGAAAGTATATAGACTGGGTGAAACCTGGCTTTATAGCAGTAACTGTGAGAAGGATCTTGGAGTCAACCAATGAAATATGAGCCAACAGTGCGTGGTTTTGATCACATAAAGACCAAAGGGATTTGCTTAACTGTAGCAAACAGGTCATAAAATCAGGCACAATTCGTTTAACTGCCCTTGGCAACAGAAGTTCCATTCCCAATTGTCACCATAATCTAGGAGCCTCGGTGGCATACTGGTCAGAGTGTGGTACTGCAAGCTATTTCTGCTGCAGCCAGCTGCCCACAATTTGGCAGATCGAATCTCACCAGGCTCAAGGTTGACTCAGCTTTCCATCCTTCCGAGGTGGGTAAAATGAGGATCCAGATTGTTGGGGGCAAGAGGCTGACTCTGTAAACTGCTGTAAAGCATTATAAAGCGGTATATAAGTCTAAGTGCTATTGCTACTTGCTATAAATTGAGGACTACCTATAGCCTACATAATAGCATGAACATTAATTTTATGAGCTCTGGGAAACAAACCAAAAAATTTCTGACTTGCTTAATTGTGATGCTTGCTTTATTGTGGTAGTCTGGGGCTGAACCAGCAATATCTCTGAGGTATGCCTGCATTTTACTATTCCTAATTTCTAATCTCTGTTTTCTTTTTAATAGGTATCAACAGAGTGGTATGGTGGCCTAGAGGTGGAGCTCTCGCCTCACAATCGGGAACCTATGAGTTTGATCCTAGGTAGCGGCAGATATTTCCCTCTTTGGGTACAATGAGAATATATCTGTTGAACATTGGCAACAGGGAGGGCATCCGGCCATTAAACCACTCTGCTAGCCCAAGCGCCACCCTGCAAGGTCATTAAAAGAAGATGATGATGACAGACAAGAGAAAACTTTCTGTACCATATTAAAAATATTCCTTGTCTTAATTCTTTAATAGATTTTTAAAAGCCTGGGTTTTTTTTACGTAACAATTTATGAAGAGCAAATCTAGAAGGAAAACTTGGAAAGAGAAATACAGACAGATTAAAACTCTTTTAGAGGTTTGTCTTTTGAAAGGAAATAGACAACATGCCAAACTTTTCATTCTTCTTCTTATATAGACAGGAGACTAACCATAATTTAGGCTCCCGTTTTATGTCTGTATCATCCAAGTCCTTAAATTCATAGGGTCGACTCTGAAGCTGGCCTGACTGAGGCCATCTTTGGGGCTTCGGTGTTGCCACAATGGAGCTGAGGGATAGGGAAGGGTAGGGGGAGAGAGAGAGAGAGAGAGAGAGATGGGGTTTGGTAGCCAAAACAAAACACTTTCTCCTGGGAACCAAGGACATTCCCACAGGTGGCCGGAGAGAGGAGGAGTGAAGTTGCCAAGCAACTGGATGGCATCTTGATTGGACCATGTGACTGATTGTTTGAGAAAGGGCTGAAACTTTTAATTAGGTGAAAACCACAGGAACTTTTAGAGTTGGTTTTCACCAGTCCGTGCCAATATGATACACCCAATAAAACCGTTCTTTGAGGAATCTACCTGCCTCGGAGTTGTGTGTGTTATGGGTGTGTTACTTGGAACCTTGACACATAGCGCACAAGGGCTCTTACCCAGCGAGGCCACATTCCTGGAGTTTTCCAGCATGACTTCTCCATGAAGAGCCTTTTGGTGAGGATCCAGTTGAGCCCACTCCTCCTCCGAGAAATCCACAGCCACCTCCTCAAAGGACACGAGACCCTGAAACAGGAAAGCTATACTCCCAATTAACAGAAAAAGGTCTATTTCCGTGATGACGAACCTATGGCATGTGTGCCACAAGTGGTACAAAGAGCCATTTTTGCTGGCATGTGAGCCTCAGGCAAACTTACCTCACTGCGCATGCACGCGCCTGATTTTTGGTTTGTTTGTTGGTTTGAGGCCTTTCTCGGCCTCTCAGAGGCCTAGAAAAAACCTCTGCAAGGCTTTTCAGGACAAATTATAGGCCCGCTTCATCACTTCCTGTAATACCAGAATATAATTCGGCCTTTTTTCAAGCCTCTAGGAGGCCAAAAAAGGCTTCAAACCAGCTGAAAAATCAGCTGTGAGGCACAGTGCAGGTAAAGGGGTGGTGGTGGTGGGGATTGTGCGTGCATGTGCACAGGGCATGGGGCGCGCATTGCATTCTTGCTGCTGACACGTGAGCAATTTTTGGCACAGGAACCCAAAAAGGTTAGCCACCACTGGTCTATTTGTTCACAAACCCTAAAAAAATTGGATTTTGAAATGAATTAAACAAGGCAACATTTTTTGCAAGAAAATTGACAGCGGACTAATCATGAACTTGACTGTATCTCACAAGAATTTCAAGATCATTGGGTGCAGTGGTGGAATTCAAAGATTTTTACCACCGGTTTGGTGGATGTGGCTTGGTGGGTGGGTGCCTTTGCGCAGGCACGGAGGCGTTCCAACTCATCTCCTGCAAGCCTGCACTCTCCCGGTCGCTTCCGCAGCTGCCATTCAGCACTCTGCTGTGCCACATAAAGTAGCTGCGCTTGAAAAACAGGGGATATAATTGAATATGGGAGCCCAGGTGGGTGGGTGGGCCCAACAGCAGAGTGACAGAGAGAACCAATTCGGTCTCCGCTGCTCATTGGCGCTACCGACTCGGCAGAACTGGGCCAAAACGGTAGAATACCACCACTGATTTGGTGAAAGTAACAGATGGGTTCTGGACACTTCCGCCATCACTGGCTCCAACTCTTCCTGGTGTTTGCAGGCAGGAGACGTAGAGATCCTGCCTGCCTGACACTTTGGCCTTAGGGCCTGTGGCACCAGTCCCCAAGGTCAACGCAATGTCTTCAAGAGAGTTTTGGAGAGCCCATGCCAGGATCTGTCTGTCACTAGGCACACAAAACACAACCCACTTTCAGCTTCTCCCTGATTTTCGGGGGAACGTGCTCTTGATCGGAGCCACTGGCAGGCTGGAAGATAAGAATGTAGCTTCTACCTGAGCTGCAGATCCAGCTGCTCTCTCGGAGCCAGCAGAAAAAGGAGATGCTCCTACAAAGACCAGCGACATTATTCTGTTCCCTACGAGGGAGACAAAAATGGTGGAAGCAAAATTAGTAAAATGTGGGGAGCGCATAAGCACACCAACGTGCCTACTGTCCCTGTCCTATTGTTTCTTTTATATACTTTTTTAATTTTTCTTATATGTATCCATGTATTCATAACTATCTTTTTACTTATACCTATTATCTTGTAAGCAATTGACAAATAAATAAATACCGCACCCAAGAGAATTCACCGAAGAAGGGAGAGCTACGGACTCCTTGGGAAACTTTATGTGACTTGGAAGGAATCCCTCCCGTCATCCCTGAAGCTGAGGTATAGGGAGAGGGGAATAGAAATAGCGGGGATTTTGTAGCCAAAACAAAACATTTTCTCCTGGGAACCAAGGACATTCCCACAGGTGGCTGGAGAGGGGAGGAGTGAAGTTACCAGGCAACCGGATGGCACCTTGATTGGACCATGTGACTAATTGTTTGGGAAAGGGATAAAATTTACTTTTAATTAGGTGAAAACCATGGAACATTCAGAATTGGTTTTTACCAGTTTCCACCAATCTATATATAATATATAAAAATGGAATACCACTCACGCATCGTCACAAAATCTACAAATTTGAAATTTGGCACGTATGTTCCTCTTGGCTTCTAGGTGCTCACTAAGAACGGATTTCGAAATGACCATCAGAGCATTAGTATTTCCTATATTATTATTATTATTATTATTATTATTATTATTATTATTATTATTATTATTACTACTACTACTACTACTACTATTGCTCTGATGCTAAGGAGTTCTACTCCCTCTTCCCACCTGAAAAGAAATCTGTTCCAAATGCAAAACACAAGCAGAGGAGTTTCAGTTTTACTTTCACAGCACCAAGTAGCTTTAGTACAGAACAGTTGAGCTAAGCCACACCCACGTTCCTTGCTATCTCCTTCTTGCTCACACAGCAAATACTGTTTCAGTTTCCAAACAGCCCTCAACTCTCTCACACACTGACAGGACGTTAGCCAGATGAATACTGATGGATGCTGGTAGGCAGAGGCACATATTTTTTTCCCCCTTATTTTCCTCCCCAAAAACTAAGCCCGATCATACATAGTTTCATAGTGAAGCATGGGTATCGAGACAAGTATGATATATCCAATAAAACTATTCTTTGAGGAATCTACCTGCCTCGGAGTTCTGTTTGCTATGGGTGTATTACCTGAAACCCTGACACCTTCCTTTACCTTGAGAGGTGTCCCAACTTTCATCTTTCTGGGAGGTGACTGTGGGAAGCAGCTCCTGAGTCGGATCAGACCGGTCTTTCCTTCTCATGGGATGTTCTGTGATCATCTCCAGAATCTGTAACTCCAGGTAGAAAAAAGGAGAGGAATGAAAGGAACGGCAGAGGTGGTATTTAGCAGGTTCTGACCGGTTCTCCAGAACTAGTGGAAATTTTGGAGTAGTTCAGAGAACCGGCAAATACTACCTCTGACTGGCCCCGCCCCCATCTATTCTCTGCCTCCCGAGTCCCAGCTAATTGGTTGGGTCTTCTTTTGTTGCCCCGTGCAGGAGAACGGAGCTGGAAAGCAGGTTAGTGCGGTGGGGAGGGAATGGAGATTTTGCAATAACCTTCCCCTGCCACACCCATCAAGCCATGCCTACCAAGTCACACCCACAGAACCGGCAGTAAAATAATTTGAATCCACCACTGTAAGAAACATTTAAGAATTCAAAGATTGTTTATCTTTCCCAATATCCCTTTAGAACAGGACTCTCCAACCTTAGCAACTTTAAGTCTAGAGGACTTCAACTTCCAGAATTCCCCAGCCAGCAAAGCAGCAAAGCCCGCAAAGCAAAGCTGGCTGAGGAATTCTGGGAGTTGAAGTCCTCCAGGCTTAAAGTTGCCAAGGTTGGAGACAGCTGCTTTAGAAGTTTCAGAATAAGATTCTCTCACCTGCAGTTCTCCCTTCTCCTTCTGCTCCTCCGCCTGGCTCAGGAGGAAGCCTTCGGCCAGGGCCACCGCCTGGGAGCTGGTCTCTGCCCCACACTCCCGCACCCAGCTCTCCATCTCTGAAGGCAGGGTAGCTAGGAACTGCTCCAAAAGTACCAGATCCAACATCTGGGCCTTGGTGCGTCTTTCTGGCTGCAGCCACCGACGGCAAAGACGATGGAGATGGCTGCAAAGTTCTCGCGGCCCTTTGGCTTCCTGGTAGCGGACATTCCGGAAGCTCCAGCGCTGGATCTCTGAAGTCATGGCTTCCTCCTTTAGGATCTTCTGCCCGGTTTGCGCCCAAGCTGCCCGACGGCTCCTTTTTCCAGCTTTCTCAGCTGCTTGGTGTTTCGACTCCATTTCCTTCGTTCTTCAACCCAAGTCCAAATGGGGGCCACAAGATCTCGTGACTCCATAAAATTCTTTTCAGTCATAAAGGAGGGTTCATGAGGAGGTCCTGGATAAGTCTCACCAAGCTGTCGAGCCCTCTCTGTTTCTAAGAGTCCGTTGGATCGCCAGGCAAGATGACTCCAGCTTAGATATCCAAGGAGGAAGAGAAAAAAAATATATAGGCCAAGATATTTTGCTTACTGAGAAAAAAATTATACAGTCCTCCTTATCACGCTGCCCTGTATGTGGCAGATTGTTACCTTATTGTCACTCCTTGTACCCTTTCAACCTGAATAATTCTAAACTCCTCCTCAACCAATCCGCCCGCAGATTTTGCACTCATACCTGCTAACTTTCCCTTTGTTGACTAATCATTGTTTCTGGCTGGCTCCCAGTACATTTCTATACATTGTATGCATATCTGTTCAAAACTAAATTTCACTTAGTTCAGAAGAATAGGATAGGATAGGATAGGATAGGATAGCAGAGTTGGAAGGGGCCTTGGAGGTCCTCTAGTCCAACCCCCTGCCTAAGCAGGAAACCCTACACCACTTCAGACAAATGGTTATCCAAATCTTCTTAAAAACTTCCAGTGTTGGAGTATTCACAACTTCTGGAGGCACTGATTAATTGTTCTAATTGTCAGGAAATTTCTCCTTAGTTCTAAGTTGCGCCTCTCCTTGATTAGTTTGCACCCATTGCTTCTTGTCCTGCCTTGAGGTGCTTTGGAGAATAGCTTGACTCCCTCTTCTTTGGGGCAGCCCCTGAGATACTGGAACACTGCTATCATGTCTCCCCTAGTCCTTCTTTTCATTAGACTAGACATACCCAGTTTTCCTCCGACCGTTCTTCATGTTTTAGCCTCCAGTACCCTGATCATCCTGGTTGCTCTTCTCTGCACTCTTTCTAGAGTCTCAACATCCTTTTTACATCGTGGCAACCAAAACTGGACGCTGTGTTCCAAGTGTGGCCATACCAAGGCATTATAACGTGGTATTAACACTTCAAGTGATCTTGATTCTATCCCTCTGCTTATGCAGCCTAGAACTGCGTTGGCTTTTTTGGCAGCTGCTGCACACATTCACACCTGCTAAGTTTCCCTTTGTAGAGAGGAATAGCAACAGATATCTCCGGGTACCACCTTGGGCATAAATTAAACTGCATAGCTGCTCACCAACTGCAACTATATTTTCACACAAAATAAATTGTTTCAACTTCTACCCTCAAAATGACATTATATAGAGCATTGCACACCAGAACAACTAGAGGCAAGGACAGTTTTTCCCCAAATGCCATCACTCTGCTAAACAACTAATTCCACAACACTGTCAAACTATTTAGTAAGACTGTATTACTATTCTTCTTCTCATTCTTCCTATTAACTATCTCCTTTCTACTTATGGTTATAACCTTGTTGTTCGTATCTTTACGATTTATATTGATTTAATTTCCTAGTATGATTTTGATTGCTTAGTATCCTATGAGTATGACTAAGTGTTGTATCTTATGGTTCATGATAAATGTGTTTTTGATGACTATGATTTATCACTTTTATCTTTTACATACACTGAGAACTTATGCACCCATGACAAATTCCTTGTGTGTCCAATCACACTTGGCCAATAAAGAATTCTATTCTATAAAATTGATGTGGAGATTCTTAGTTATCCAGGTCATGGTTTTCCCAACGGTGTTTTTTTCTGGAGGCAACTGGGCTGTTTTTTCTTTTGAAGACGTTTCTCTTCTCATCCAAGCAGCTTCTTCAGTTCTGACAGGATAATAGGGAATGGGAGGATTTATTTATCTATTCCCCGCTATCCTGTCAGAGCTGAAGAAGCTTCTTGGATGAGAAGTGAAATGCAAAAACAAGCAAAAACAAGAAAGTCCAGTTGCCTCCTGAAAAAATCACCTTTGGGACATATATTTTCACAGTTCTCCAATAATACCCTCTACCCAGTTTGCACCATCCTCCACCATCTCTGCCTTTCTCTTCTTTTTCCTCTTCCTTTTGGTTCTTGGATAATGATCACTACAGCAAGCTGTAACAATTTTTTTTTCTCCTGAATGTTCCTGGTTCTTTTCCCTGGTTTAATTGTTTTACTTTCTAAATATAAATCTGCCTAGAGTCATCCACAGACAAGAGGCAGCCACATAAAATAACATTTAAAAAATATATGTCCAGCCTTCGATACTTATAATTTTCACACCAATCTTGGATACCCTCCTGTTCTAATACTTTTTCCATTCAACATTTTTTATTTACACTTTCTTTCTTCCTTAACCATTTCCTCTCAAGATTTGCTCTTGTTGCCTCCATCAAAATAACATTCCCTTCCATTTGTCTCTGGTTCTTCCATTTTCACTATTCCGCGGAGCAAACAAGGCACCCGAAGGCCAGACAAGGAATAATGGATGGAAACTGACCAAGGAGAGATTTGACCTGGAAATAAGGAGGAATTTTCTGACCGTGAGAACAATCAACCAATGGAACAGAAGTTGCCTTCGGAAGTTGTGGGAGCTTCATCACTTGAGACTATTCTATATATAATATATATAATATACATATAATATATAATATTGAGACTATTCTATATATAATATTCTACCATTGACCTCACCCCTTTCCTAAGAGGTCTGTAGGGGGCGTGCATAAGCGCACCAATGTGCCTACCATACCTGTCCTATTGTTTCTTTTATTTTTCTTATATGTATCCATGTATTCACAACTATGTTTTTACTTATACCTATTATTTTGTAAGCAATTGACAAACCAAAGTAAATAAATAAATAAAATAAAAACCGAGACCTTCAAGAAGAGACTGGATCGCCATCTGTCAGAAACGGTATACGGCAAGGGTCTTCAAACTTGGCAAGTTTAAGACTTGAGGACTTCAAACTCCCAGAATTCCTGAGCTAACACGATTGGAGGAGGAATTCTGGGAGTTGAAGTCCACAAGTCTTAAAGCTGTGAAGTTTGAAGACCCCTGGTATCTCCTGCTTGGCCAGGGGGGTAGACTGGATGACCTACAAGGTCTCTTCCAACTCTGTTAATCTGTATCTAACCCTTGTCACCAGTTATTCCTAACGAAATTCCTAAGGAACCTTTACTTCCTGATCAGCTCCACTTCAGGAGATCCGGCCATCTTCCAACGGATCCATCCCATTTTTGATTTCCCTCTATTTCACTGACACACAACATAACTCTTCCCTTTCTCTTGTACTGTACCATTAATGCTGACTTTTTTCTTATATGTTCCTCTCCATTCCATGTTGCAAAGTTGCTTTCTAAAAGAAACACCATCTTAGACGGCTGGCAATATGGGAAGTGAAGCTACAGCCTAGGTCGGTAGTGGCTAACCTTTCGGGGCTCCCGCACTGAAAATTATGTGCATGCTTGAGTGCGCACACTCACATGCCAGCACCCAGTAGGCAGTCCGCGCAACCCCCACAATGCGCCCCACACATGCGCACGCAACCCCTTCGCACGTACACCCAGGGGTGGGATTCTACCTGGTCAGACCAGTTCTATAGAACCGGTTGTTAAGATTCTGCCCAGTTCGGAGAACCGGCAAATCGTGCTACTGGCTGGCCCCTCCTCTCCCTGCCTACTCACTCCTTATCTGGTATGCGCACCATCAAACTTGCCTGCTAAGTTGCTATTTTTACTTTTTTCCCCCACAACTATCAGCTGTTCTTCTGTGCTGGGAGATTTCAATTAGCTAGAAAGCAGGAAAACGTTGGATTTCTTGCTTTCTAGCTAATCTAAAAGCAGCGCTGAACCTTCCTTAGGATTGAAGCTTCTATTTTTCAGTGCAGACTCGGGCAGCAGATTGCAAAAAGATAGATCTCTGAGTGACTCTGTGATTCTGTGAGCAACTCAATCTGCCTGCCTGCTTTGCCTGATTTTGGGTAAAAGTTGTTTTTTTAAAATGAAAAAATCAATATTTACATACAAGCCATGCCCAGCCGGGCATATGACCACCAAGCCATGCCCAGTCAGCAAGCCACACCCAGCCAGTCACATGACCACCAAACCACACCCACAAATTAGGCCACGCCCACAGAACCGGTTAAATTTGAATCCCACCCCTGCTCACACCGCATGTCTCTGCGCATGCGTGCAGGATCCCTCTGCGCTATGTATCTGTGTACATGCGACACACATCTCCCATGCACATGACTGCCAGACACCCGACAACTAGCTGTCAGGTGGGCAGCACATGCACATGCGCAGTGGGGCTCTTCCAGGTGACCTCTCGCATACTGGGAGAAGTGGCTCTGCAGGCCACTTCCAACATGCGTGCCATAGGTTTGCCATTACGGGCCTAGATTTCCAGCTTGGGCCACAGACAGTGTTGTCTCCTGAGCAGCCTCATGGTCACTCTGGACACAGGTGGGCCATGATGACAACTAAACCCCGATACCTCATGATGATCCCATTTATGAGGGGTCCTTGGTGCTCTCTGAGCTTATTTTCTTGCAGACGTTTCGTTACCCTAACTGGGTAACATCATCAGTGCTAGGACTAGCACTGATAATGCTACCTAGTTTGGCTAACCAAACGTTTAGGACCAGCACTGATGATGTTACCTGGTTTGGGTAATGAAATGTCTGCAATGTCGAAAGTTATCACCCACCCCTCTCCTAGAAAAATGAAATATTTTAGGAAATGTTAAAAAGGCAGAATATTTCCCCTAAAAGGGAAATAGAAATTCAGAGAGGCAGAAGCTCATCCCGACATACACCTTTGTTAATGGGTGGGCCGTTAAGGCCTGGGCCAGAGTATTCTACATAACAAAGGCCTCTACCCATGTCGCCTCTTGGCCTGGGAAGATTGCATCAGCCAGCACTCAGATGAAGCCATGTGGTCCAGACAAAGCCTACAAAGTTAGCTAAGACCCCCACCCCTGGGAGTCCGACAGCCAATGGGATACATTTCTTACACAGGAACAGGAAACACTAAGGTGCGGCCCAACAGAG